TTTTTAAGAGTTTTTGTCAAATGCTTTATAATATAGTATATATTAGATGAAAGAAATATATTTTAATAATATAATCAATGTTATAATCTTCAAAATAAAAAATTTGTTGAAATTGAATTTATTTTTATTTTAAAGAATTTGAAGTTTCATTTTCTATTTTGTTAGAGATGCTCTTAATAATTAAAATTTATTATGTTAGAAAAATAAAAAATACATCAAAACCTCTATTATTTTTATAATTTTGTTATAAAATATAACTTCCAATAATTTGTATCAGTACTTTTTAAAACTTGTTTGTTTTAAACTTGTTAACATAAAAAAAAATGATAATCTATTCTTATTTCATACTAGTAGATTTTGGGCTTCAATTCAATTAGCCAAGCATATAACATGTTCAAACAAGAACAATTGAAATCTATAGGTACATTCACCCTCGATCGATCAGCTTTTAAGATTGTCTTTTTCTTTTATGAATCCACAACATCCTTCAGATGAATCATTAATTATGCCAAAATTACATCCATAATTTTTACTGAATCAAGCATCCATAACAGTATACCTTGTTCTTATAGGTGCTCACCTTAAGATTTTTCGTTTTCGGGTTTATTCAAATCAAACACCATTTTGCAAACCTTTATCTATTTTCAACAAGAATACCTGTTCAAAATAGAATAACGAGAAAGACATGGCTACATTAATCCTCAAACTGTATGTAATATCATGAATTCACAACGCCATTCGAATAAATGATTAGTGATACAAGATTCCGTCCATAAAATTTCCTAAATCAAGCTTAAAGAAAAGCATTCCTTGTTTATTGCCATGGATAAGGTGAGAGCGAATTAGAGCAAAAATCAAGCTTAAAGAAAAGCATTCCTTGTTGTTTATTGCCATGGATAAGGTGAGAGCGAATTAGAGTAAGATGTCGTCGGATAGGCGTTGTAAATTAGGAATGAGAGAAGGAAGACGGAGGGGTCGTTTACTAAACGCTTACCCGGTAAGTACTTACAGGGTAATTTTTCTCACAGGATGAACATGGCAAGGGCCAAGAATCTTACCTGTTAAGAGCGATGATAGGGATGGAGAGTCTTACTCGATAAGTGAGGGTGACGATTCTTACCCGGGTAAGCGCTTACCAGGTAAATTGTTGTATAAGATACATTTTGATGTACTACAATCTTACCCAATAAAATAAAATTATAGTGTTGACTCCTTACGTTAAACACTTACCGGATAAGCATTTAGGTAAACGGTCTCGAAGTATAAATATATGTTTATGACAGAAGATTCTAGATTCTCGATAAAGTTTATCTTTTTTTTAGCATTTATGTTATTATTTTGAATTTTATTTTATGATTGCTTGTTATTAATAAGACAAATT